CCCTGGAATGTGTTTGGCCTTTCTGCCTGGGGAAAGGGAATGGAAAGCTACAGGAAAAACTACTGAGACTGGCTACTAATGCAATAATAGGCTACAATTGTATGAGTAAAGAATACAGAGAATATTTAAAAGAAAAAGGCAAAAATCAGTCCGGCATCAGTATAAAAAAAAAAGCACATTGAATTAATGCACAAAAGGACATAATATGACCCCAGCAAAAGGTTGCATAAAAGCAGGAGCACACCATGACTCATTCTTCATAAGCTTTATTATTCTCTTCACATAAAGTACTGATCACACCTCTAACAGATGCACAAAAACATTCTCAACTCATTGCAACAGTATAGTAAGATTGAATAGGGCTATAAATCTTCAAAGGGCAGCACAAACATTAAGCTCTGAGAAGRATAAGAAATGGTGACACACAAGACAACTTAAGTGACTTGCTCTGAGGGCAACAGAGCAAACCAATGAATCAAGTTTGAATGAATCCCAGGTTCTCCTTAGCAATGAGTCACATCAGATATCCAGGCCACGTAAATCTGGATTTAGTTTTCAGTCATATTTYTGGCTTTTAATATAAAATCTTCTAAATATCACCTATGGGTGATATGGGACAACAATGCAGTGTTGTCCTCTTGAATTTGTAGGCAAACAGCAACCATGAAACTTACCTACACAGTCAGGGATACTTTCAAACCTGGAAGMTAGATAGTGAAATATTGTAAGAGCTTGTCAGAGTTTACCCATAAATTCTGAAAATTATAACTGCAAAGAATATGTGTGCAAAGAGAGTATAGCAAAAAGAGCAGCAGCAGTGTTGACCATGTTGCTTGTACCATCCTTGTTGCTTTGTACTGTCCCTCCCTGGCCCCATTGCCTGTGGATGCTGAATTCAGGAATTAACTACCCTGGCTTAGACCCTAGGAGGGTTCTGCTGAAAGAGTTCTCAAGGCCAATAAAAATGTTACTCTCTTACAAGAAAAGCCTTGCAGGTTTCAAGAATGGTGCAAACATAATTCAGTCTGGATATGTGGTTTGTAATGTAAGCTTTTTCAGAGCTTTTTCAAGTTATCACTCAAGCAGAGAGACGCTGAGAATGGAAGTAAGCACATGGGCCAAATTCTAAAACCCACAGCAAAATACATTGCCCATTTCACAGAAATTAGCTCAACTTGATGATTAATGATCATTATATGTTTGCATGCACACATGGAACCACATGGGCTCACTTTTCAATCACTACAAGAAATACTGACGATAATGCATTTTTAAAGGAGAAAAGGCATCTGCATTGCAGTGTTGTTATTCTCTAATTTACAATTATCTCCATTTACTTGTCTCTTCAGAAATTCTTAATAGAGARCATTTTGCTGAGCTTTCTATTTGGCTGGAGCACATGTGTGAAAGAACAACAGCTTTACTAATRTCTAGAATATTATTGCAATGTCAGAGGCATTTCGTAAGTTTCAAAGTTTTTGAAAATTGGAAGGGAGAAGTTCTGACAAGCACACAGCAAAGGTGAAGTTTTAACTGATACTATAAATATCCTTGCTCCCAGGGGAAAAAAAAAAAAGAAATAAGAAAACACAAAGAAAATAAAGTCCCATAATACTGCATATTTGAAAGTTTTCTAATTTTACTGTTGTTGTTTAAACACTTCACATGAGTCCTAATCCACTGTGGCAAAGCTCATGCTCACTTTAAGCAGGTTAGCATTCCAGTTCAGCTCAAGGGGATGAGCATACTACTCAGTAGTGATTTATTTGAYCACTGTCTAAATTTAAAATTCACAATGGTACCAAGAGGAGGTTGTTCTATTTCCACATTGTTTGCAGTAGACAGTCTTTGCCTCAGAGTATCTTACTTACTTATGTGTGCACATGAAGAAACCACTTGCAAAGTGTTTTACTATTGCAGGACCAAGACATTTAAAACAAATCTTTCAAGCAGTCGATGGAGTGCTATCGGAAAGGTAGGATTTTTTTTTTTCATTTTCCTTGTGTAGGTTTAAAATTTACTGGCCATTCACTGTTGTAACTAAGCATTCCACAACATAAAGCATCTCTGGATTATTTTTCTCTCTGCAGTACTCCACAATATTTTCCAGTGACAATGCTCAGCTGCTAYAAGCACTTGTGACAGAACAGAACTGTGTTTCTTTCCAGCCCATAAGTTTCYTGATGTAGCAAATAAAAGCCTGTCAATTTTCACTCTGAAGTTTAGAAAAAGACAGACAAATTATAGGAATACAAAACTGAATCAATCTAAGTCAGTCAACACAGSTGAAAAATGGCAAGAGAAAATGTGAAAATGCAGGCAAATGGTATGGGAAGAACAAGAAGAATGGAAGGGAAGCAGGGGAAAGAGGASGATTTGAGAAAAGAGGACTAATTGGAAAACATAAGGATTAATTTTGTTGGAGAGGGAGAGCTTACTGACTYTGAACAGTTTCCTAACAAAAAGCTGCAGGTTATGCCATTAAATGATCAAACACAAAAGCACAATATTCTGACAATTTTAAGGAATCTCCTTGATCAATGTGTTGGATTTTGGGGTGATGTTTTGTTGTTGTTTTTGTTTGGGTTTTTTTTTGGTGGGGTTTTTTTTTCAGGGGGCAAGGAGATAGTTTTTTCTGGCTTGGGTTTTTAATATTTTTTTTTACAAAACAGAATCATTGACTCATTCTAATTGCTTATGGCTTTATCCAATTTTCTTGGCATTAAGAGAGGCTGATGTTCTGAGCAGTACAACAATACCACCACAATACCTGCCACTAGCAATATTTCGTATGATATAAACAAATCAGAAGCATCTGAAATATTCAGGGCATGATAATGCTTGGGCACACTAAGCTACAGTTGAATACCAGAGCTGAGATCACATATCCTGCCTGGCCTAAATCCTGCCCAAAGGCATATACACAAAACACTCCAATACCTATATTTGAAGCAATCTCCATAGACATCCAAGTCTATTTTCAGAATATTGCTCCCTTAAGTAAAATGTAAAGKATAATACTGCTGCTAAACTCCAGCAGTCTCATCATGCCCACTTCCAAAGACCCAATGGTATAAAAAAAACAAACAAAAAATCAAACAAAGAACCACTGAGCCTTTCYGTAGAGCTGATGTGCAACCAAGAGTTTTCAATAACCTAGAATGGCAAAAGTACACAAGTTAAGCTGCTTAGACTTCATTACCGATTTCCTAAGTTTTATTTTCTTATTTTAACTTACAAGAATTTCACAGTATCTAAAACATAAGAGATCTCCACCTCTCTCTTCTTTTCCATCTTGGTCTGTTCACCAAGATCACCTAAAGACTCAAAGTCTTTCAACAGCATATTTTCAAGGTCCTGTTATCATTGGCCCCAAATTTCTGCCCAAAGCAAGTAAATTATTTTTGCACAGACCTCACAGGCAAATACAAGAGGCAACAGCTTCCAACAGATGGACTAACAGAGTTTGATTYCTCAGTGTACAGACCGCCACTATGCTGCAAGCAAGTGGCACTATGTGACAACATATGTGGCACAACTACAGAATCACAGAATAAACTGAGTTGGAAGGGGCCCASAAGGATCATCGAGTCCASCTCGTGACCCTGCAYAGCACCATCCCCAAGAGTCACAGCATGTGCCTGAGMGCATTCAAATGCTTCTTGGACCTCTGTCAGGCTTGGTGCTGTGACCACTGCCCTGGGGAGCCTGTTCAAGTGCCCAGCCTCCCTATGAGTGAAGAATCTTTTCCTGATATCCAGTCTTAACCTCCCCTGACACAGCTTCCTGCCATTCTSTTAAGCCCTGTCACTGGTTACCACAGAGAAGAGATCAGAGTCTGGCCCTCCTCTTCCCCTCACGAGGAAGTTGTAACTGCAATGAGGTCTCCTCTCAGTCTCYTCCAGGCTGAAYGGAACAAGTGACCTSAGAATATRTTCTTGGGAAACATTCTGGCTTGTCAAGTTTTTCTCACCGGCTGGGTCCTATGGCAGTATGCTGTAGCCTTCATGCTCACTGACGTGTTCCATTTTCCTCATGYCCTAAGTAGGATTTCTCATTGATACCAGCATTCATGAAACTGATACAATAAAAATGTAATTACTCTAGGAGTCTAAAAAAATAGTCTTTATCTAYATATATTCTGTTGAGAAACAATCTACATCTAGAAAATACTGCTATATTTAAGCTGGCTTATACTCATCAGCTGATTCTGTAAATGGAATTCTAAGAAAAAGTGATTTCTAGGCCAGAAGACAGTACTCACATCAACTCTCAGTCAAAACCACAGAGGGAGCAGTGATTATTTTACACAGTATTCAAGGAGTTAGGGAATTCCCTCATAAATTAGGATCCCAGCTCAGTTTAACCATCAGTCTCAAAGCCACATCTCACAGCTATCAAAACCATGTCCTTGATGGCATGCTCTGAAGCAGGCTGCTCAAGCCTGCCACTGCAAAAGGAGCAAAGCACAAGCAAGAGAGCCTTGTGAGCTGCAGACCCAYGGCAGCACCATCTCAGATTCTAGAACTGTTTCTATGTTAAATGTTTTAGAAAGGCATTGGATACAACCAAGGATTTTCAAACAAAGGGCTGGGACCCAAGAATCCATCCTCCAAAGGGCACAGTTGCATAAGAGCACATGGAAACACTAACCTCTCAAAAGAAATGACATTTCAGATCCAGTCTCTGTGTTACATAAAAATTGGCTATAACTGGTCTGAGGCTCCACCTGTGTTGCCAAACACAGATTCCAGCTTGGGCCTAGCCTAACGCAATTACTGACTCAAATATAGTTTCTCTGCTGATTGCTTCTTTCACGTGTACACGACCATTTGCTTCCCCAGTTTTTGTCTTGTCACACAYGTAGACTGTGAATCCCTTGGGAAAGAACACATTTCAATGTTAGCTTCTATACGATATGGGATTAAACAGGACTCAGGGTTTTAGGTCCCACTATTAAATTATATTTTAGGGGATTAACAATTTTAAAAGGCAGAAAATATAAACTTCAGTAATTTAAACACCAGACAATGATGTAAGTTTGGCAAGGCCAAATGTAGAAAAGAAGCTTAGCTGAAGAGAAAATTAATGGGTTTGTGCTACCAGCTATATTTGGTTTTCCTTTATGCAAACTGGCTAATGATTGTAAGAGTTTTACCCTTTTCCCCACTCTTCCTTTTACTCTTTAGAAACAAAGTAACCATTTTGTATGGTAAATATTGGGGGYAGTGAAATATTCTGTGACTTAGTGTTGTGAATGATGAGGAAATAGTCAGAGAGAATGCATTTCCTTTTAATTATCTTRTAAATATTTAAAATAAGTTGCAAAGAGCGTAACAGGAAAATAAATTATGTGTTCAGATCACCTTCAAGCTGTAGCCTTTGTGCCCTCTAGGGCACTCTGGTGCAGCAATAATGCCTCACCAAAAAGTCCACCTTGTGTGTGAGCTGACCTTACTCTCTCAAGGRTTTATAAAACAGTTGACAGCTACTAGAGATAGTAGTGAATGAAATAGTACAAGAATAACTTCTACAAAACAAACCAAACAAACAAACAAAAACCAGAATGAAACAAAAACAGGAAAAAAATAAAAATAATTAAATTTACAAAAACAAACAAACAAAACTGGCAAGGCAGAAATAGGAATCTATGATGAGAATAAAAGGTGGCACTTCATATGCTGACTAATACTCTCAGGAAGCCACCACGACTAAGTGGAAGATCTGGCTGACCTTACTGGTTTGTAAAGAAGGGCATTTTGAGGRGGAGCCTAGCAGGACTTAGCATAGCTATGCATATTATTACATTTTTTGGAAGATCAGCTTAGGCAATGACCAACACTTATTAATCAAAATAGAACACCTTTTGGGAAACTGATAGCATCTACTTTTCATTGCCTTTCCCTTCTGTTAACACACCCACAAACAAGTGCAGGTGTGCCCAAGCAGTACTGGCAACACCCAAACTCCCCTGCCCTGAGACCTGCCCGCCGCTGCCTCTTAGTTTGGTGCAAAGCAGCTGCATGAAAAAGCAAAAATGTGAAGGGGCAATGTGGAAGCAGAAAATGCATTAGGRTCAGATGAAAAAACAGCTCGATGCCTGGAGGCATGATAAGAGAGCAGCTGTAAAGAAGTGGAGCAGTTTCTAATGTTGTAYTTGCATCAATCCAGATGCTCCCCATTCCAGCTAAGTATTTACAGTGGCACATAACAATTAGCAGGTATTGCCATTGYCAGCTACACTGGTATAGTTACTTGGCAGTACAAATACACATATGTAAGATAATTAGGACAAATTTTTCTAGTAWAAGCAAAGGTCAGACTAAATCTGACCTATTCTCTGCATTTTGAGAAAACAAATGTAGGCAGATATTTCCATTACTCTGATTATCCTGCTAAAGTAATTTCTCATCAGATTGTAGCTAGACATCACACTGGCAGGATGCTGTTCCCTTGTATTGAGAAATGTCACAGCATGCACCCACGGTTAGAGGGCAGAATGGACCCTGCACTGTAGACACACCTCCTAGCTGCACTAGAGACTGCACTCTAGCTTGGGTGCTGTTATGAACAATCCAAAGATATAAGACACAGTTTATTCTATCATAGTGCTATTTCATGTACATGATAATTAGTGTTGTCTGCTACTGTTGCAATCCTGGAACAAAGATCAAAATAACTGCACATTTTGTCAACCACTTGTATTGCAAATTACCTGGGTAAACACTTGATACATGCATACCTTTTCAGGTGACACAACACAAATAAAGGTTAAAACCATGATAGCACACTCCCACTGGTTATTTGGTGAGTAGGCCATACTTTAGTGATTAGCTGATGCCATATTCATGATTCATCAGGCAAGTACAGTGTTTGTTATTTGGGTATTTGACATTCATAGAATARTAGAAAGGCTTGGTTTTGAAGGGACCTTGAAGACTATCTAGTTCCAATCCCCCTTCCACGGACAGGGAT